GACGGGGGAATCCCAGCTGGGGAAACTGCAGGAGAATCTGCCAGTTGCCTACCTGCCTCAGCCTAGCAACCAGCCAAAGAAGATGGGCACTGAAGATCTGTGGTTAAGACCCAGTGAGTGGCAAAGGGCAGCCTCTGAAGAGCACATTCGAGTTCTCCACAAGAGGAAGACCAGCTTTCAGCACCTACCAAGCCCCAAAAGCTCCCATGTCAGCTCAGAACTTTTTGGTCCCTTCCTCTCCCTCTGCAGTCCCTACCCCAGCAGGACCAGAGGCAGCCAGGTGAGCAAAGGAATAAAAGGTAAAACTCCCACCAGCAAATAGAAAAGATACTCTTCTTTCCCATGCAACTTCCTGTCTGTGGCAATCCTGAATGGGAAAGAGAGGGAAACCTAACATTCAAGAAAACAGACAATTGCTGAAATAAGATTGTTTATGTAAATAGCAAGTAAGCAGAGAACTTCTTATTTAAAAGTCAATAACATCTTCTAGAGATTTCATCTCAAGAGGAAGAGAAGAGCCAACCCCACAGAAAGGATTTTAAGAGGCATCAAGAGAAGAAATAAGAGTTGTTTTCTGATTTTATCCTGCAAATTCTGCTTGTTCAACAAGAGTTATACAGACATAGAAAAAGACAGGAAAAAAAAACTTTGCAAAAAAGCCAGAGGAGGATCCTGGTGAAGTTCAGAGTGTCTGGTCTGGCACACTATGCAGACACACAGGGAGGCTTTGGAGAGGTGGGTTTTAAGACTGAAAAGATGAAGGACAAACTGTGTCTTGTGCAGCAAGTGATAGACTTTTCCTTCATTTGGAAGTTCTTGAGCCAGAAATAGGAACAAGCAGAAGGGAGAGAGAGGAAGTGGTAACAGCTAGTAGAGATCACCCCATCTTTTGATGTCATCGTCACAGGCGACTGGCTCCTCCACATCCAGACTGCTAGCTGTGGGGCAGGCTCGCCTGAGTGGGTGTGGGAACTGAAGTCCAACATCTTTGGGGAGATAGAGCTCATGAAGAAAATGCTGCAGGAAAGAAGAAAATATGATAGGTAGGAGACGGTGGACTACATCAAAGATCCCAGTGACAGTGACTTAGATTTCAGCCCATCCTCCACTTTCACATAGACTCAGTTGTGGTTTTTTTCCCTTTTCTTTTTATGAAATCATAGCTGTGTACATTAATGCAGTCATGGGGTACATAAAATAGTGTGCTGGTTTCATATACAATTTGAAATATTTTCATCAAACTGGTTAACATAGCTTTCATGGCATCCTCCTAGTTACTGTGTTAAGACATTTGTACTCTACATTTAGAAAGATTCACATGTACTCTTGTAAGATGAACTGAGAACAGCACATCAGTACTGCCTGGGCACTCTTCATCCTCCCCAGGCCCTGTTCTTTACCCTGCCGCCATCCTCTCTCAGGACCAGCTCACGCCCATCCACTCAAAGAACACTTGTTGGACTGAAGTGAACTCAAGGTCTCGAATCTGCCCAGTGGCGCAAGGCCCAAAGTCATACTTCCAATAGCCACCTAAGAAGCTCTGCTGTGACACGCTCAGCTTTCCCAGACTTAAACCCATACTGCTCTAGCACAGACCTGTTCTCCTTTTCCTCAGGTCCCATTAATGGTAACCCTACCATCCTGAAAGTTGGGACCCATCTTCAATTCTTCTTTCTTAATTTTCTGCACAGAGTCAGTAACCAAGTCCCCCCAATCTGCCTCTCTGGTTAGGTGTCTTCCGTGGGCCCCAACACCACCACTACTTCAGATATGGAGAGTTTTATCTGATGAGGTGTCTCCCCCGGGCTCCTGACACCACCACTGCTTTCCGTCAGATGTAGACAGTTTTATCATTTCTTTGAAACAGACTGATTGTAATCTACCATCCCATCTCCCAACCCATTCCACATTTTTCTGTTAGAAATATATTTCTACACTTCAGCACAATTATACCACAATTTTAATTAAAAGTCACTTGTGATCCATCTGTGATGATGCCAAGAATGAACATCCTGGTCCTGAGTCCAGGCACCATGTGTCTGAGCCTCTTACCTTTTCCACACCATCCTCTCACAGGCACCCTAGATGTGTTCCAACCACCAAGATCCACTGATCAGGCTTTGAGAACTGAGAGGCAGACTTTTCTTCTCTAAGACAGGATCTGAGGTTAGCCCAATTGCGCAGGTGCATTCAGGAGCATTAGAGGAATTTTTTTAATAATATACAGCTTTTACCTTGGATATTAAAGGGTGGCCTTCTCCCTGATTGAAAAAATATCACAAATCCCAAAAAACACTGAATTTATCCAAAGATATTGAGATGAAGAGCTAAAATAATCCTTGGACGTGGGCCAGAGATGTGAGGCAGTGTGCAGAGGCTTCAGAATCTCATATGAGAAGGAAGGGGCAGAGGAGAGTCAAAATGGCTAGGATTGATCCATAGTTGCTTTGCTAGTAAGATAGGGAAGGGGCAAGATCACAGGAGCTAAAACTTCAGGAGTAGGGAGGAGGTGGAGACCAAGTGTCCACAGTGAGCCTGCTTTCTTGTTCCTAGTAATGCCGAGCTCCCAACCCCCAGGGCACAAGAGTCTCCACTACAGCCTCACTTCACCAGCACAAATTCTGAAAGACCTGGGGAAGGGGTGGGACAGCCAAGGAGGGGATTAATCTTGGCTCTATGCTAATGTCAAAGGCTGGAGTTGAGCTGGGTGCTCTGGAGTCACACAACAATCGCTGCCCGGTAACACTGTGATGAGATCACAAGTGGGCCTCTACCTGCCCCTGACCCAGCTTCCTCAGAGCTGAGCAGAGGAACCAGTGGGAAAATCCACCTCCCTGGCACAGCAGTACCATCCACCCCACTCCCCACTCAACTACTTGTCAAGTTCATTGCCAACACAAAGGGGTGAGTTGCATGTGGACAGCTGCACTCTTTTAACCTCTCCTGCCCTAGGAGTGTCCGGCAGCACCCCAGGCCCTGGGCAGGGCTGGGAAGGGTGTGTTTGATTGAAAGTTTTCTGTCATTTTCAGTAGCAAGAAGTGGGGTGTGCCTCATCTTGGAATAGACTTTTAAAAATTCTAGAGTCTAATTAAATGATTTGCCTCCCTAGAAAGCCAAACTAATTTTAATATTAAATTAGAGATTTAATTTTTATTTTATTTAATTTTATTTTGTTGAGGCAGAATCTTAAGCTGTCACCCTGGATAGAGTGCTGTGGCATCACAGCTCACAGCAACCTCCAACTTTTGGGCTCAAGCAAGTCTCCTGCCTCCTCCTTCCAAGTAGCTGGGACTATAGGCGCCCGCCACAACGCCCAGCTATTTTTTGGTTGCAGCCGTCGTTGTTGTTTGGTGGGCCTGGGCTGGATTTGAACCCACCAGCTCAGGTATATGTGGCTGGCGCCTTAGCTACTTAGGCTTAGCCACAGGCACCGAGCCATAATTTTTGTATTATTAAAGGAAATCAAAGGTGTGCCAAGTAGACCCAATTTGAAGTATCACTGGGGACTAAAAAGCCCTATCCATATCTAGAAGTTAAATTGTCCATGCAGAAATATCTAGCGCAGAGCAAAACCCAACAGAAGAATAATTACCTTCTGAAAATTATATTGTGGCTCTAGCATTAGTATTTTCAAGGAAATTTAAAATTTCCTAATTTGTCTTCTCCTCCCCTGGTTTCTTCCCTTGCCCTAATCATTTGGCAAAGCCTGGACATAGAGGATGAGGGGAGCAGTTCTACAGCAGTCCACAGGAACCCAGATGGGGGCGGGGGAGTCAGTCCTCAAGTCCTTAGGTAAAGAGAGCAATTCTCAAGGCTTGAGGACTTACGTAGGACACAGGATTGAAAGTGTCATGATTCCCTAAATCCACTAATATATCCCCCCATCTATATCCAGAGAGGTGGAGAAGTGACTTTTTGAAACCTTTGGATGCCTCAAGCAGTCTGATCAAACTGATGGACTCCTTGCCAGGACCCGGTGGCTCACACCTTATAATCCCAGGACTTTGGAAGGCTGAGGCAGGTGGATTGCTTGAGCTCAGGGGTTCAAGACCAGCCTGAGCAAGAGCAAGACCTCATCTCTACCAAAAATAGAAAAACTAGCCAGGCATTGTGGTGTGTGCCTGTAATCCCAGCTACCCAGCAGGCTGAGAGGGAGGACCAACCACTTGAGCCCAGGAGTTTGAGCTTATAGTGAGCTATGATGACACCACTACATTCTAGCCCAGCAACAAAGCAAGACCCCATCTAAAAAAAAAAAAAAAAAGGAAAGAAAATTTAATTAATTATAAATAAAACTATTTTTATTATTAAAAATTAAGTGATCTAGGCTGGACACAGAGGCTCACGCCTATAATCCCACCACTCTGCAAGACCAAGGCAGGAGGATCACTTGAGCTCAGGAGTTTGAGTCCAGCCTGACCAACAGCGAGATCCTATCTACTAAAAATAGAAAAACTAGCTGGGCATTGTGGCGGGTGCCTGTAGTCTCAGCTACTGGGAAAGCTGAGGCAGGAGGATGGCTTGAACCCAGAAGTCTGAGGTTGCTGTGAGCTATGATGACATAACACTCTAGTCTGGGGCAATAGAGAATCTGTCTCAAAAAAAAAACAATTTTATGAACTCCTTGGAATTATTTTTTTAAGTGAATTAAATGAGACATCTGGGTTACAGAAGATACCAACTATACTGTAAACAAAGTTGCACCAGTCTGAAGTGGGGAGGAGGGGAGGAGGGCCTCAGGGCCCCAGGCTAAAAGCTCCTGGTAGGGTCTATGGAATGCAAAATAGGGAGATGTGAACAGAAAGCAAAGTGCCGGTGAAGAGATAAAGAAATGCTGTCCCAAACCCACATGAGGGTAGGCACAGTCCTAAGTGAGAAGATGGTCCAGAACCTGGAATGTTCCAAGAAAGGCTTTCTTAAGAAGGTGGGCAGGAGGTGGAAGGCTTATGGATGGATCCTACCCCACCTGAAACCCATCTACTATTTCTTTGCAGGGCTCAGATAATCAAGAAAAAATGTCAAGTGATGATAAAAATAAACCTAGTAACCCCAAGAATGAGCCCAAGAACTGTGATCCCAAGTGTGAACAAAAGTGTGAGTCCAAATGCCAGCCCAGCTGCTTAAAGAAGCTCCTGCAACGCTGCTCTGAGAAGTGCCCACGGGAAAGGTGTCCAGCACCACCAAAGTGCCCCCCACCATGCCCCGGGCCCTGCCCGGCACCGTGCCCTCCACCATGCCCTGGGCAGTGCCCCCCGCCCTGCCCTCCCAAGCCCTGCTCCAAGCCTTGTCCCCCCAAGTGCCCGCCTCCATGTCCACCTCCATGTCCCCCCCCATGTCCACCTCCCTGCCCACCTCCAGAGTGAGGCATCGTGGGCACCACCCAAGCCCACCACCACCGCCATCTCTACCATGGGCAGTGCCATGGGGCTGGGAACTGAGACCATGAACTGACAAGTAAATGTGTTCCTCTGCTGTGCAAGAATTCTCCTGGTCTTAGGCGGGTTTTGGTCTATTGCGGCAGTTGGCATTCTCCTGCACTCAACCATCAACAGGCAATCCCCAGGAAGTAAGGCCAGCATCCTCCACTGTCAACAACCTTTGAGGACCGGCTTTCCCTATGACCCCACCTGCTGCTTAGCGGGAAGGGCCCTCTTCGGAGTGGTGCAGCCGGGAAAGAAGGCCTTGTTAAGAACAGAGCCTAGGAGGTCCACCGACTGTGGCTGCAGCTGTTAGGGTCCACCCCCAGGAAGCAGGAGGGGAGGGTGTGAGGGGGAAGAGGATGGGACATTGGCAAAGTGTCCAGGATGTTCAGGAAAAGGCCTCCTACTGCCCTTTCTGCTGTGCCCTTGCACAGAGCTGAGGCAGATAGTTCTGAGTGCAGGCTGTCTGGGGGTTGATTCAGCTCTAGCTCTGCTCCCTATCAACTTTGTGGCCTTAAGCAAGTTGTTTAATAACTTCTCTGTGTCTCAGTTGCCTTCTCTGAAAAAGGAAAGATGGCGCAAATAGCACTTTTGTTACAGGTTTGTGTGAAACTGAAAGCGCTAACAGATGCCAAGCGCCCGGTTTGCTGGGACGCAGCGAGTCAGTGACCGGGCACCTGCTCCTGCCCAGGTGTAGCACTCAGCGCACTTGAACTTAATTGCATCAGGCACCTCTTCTTCGTAGCCTGTAAGTCTCCTGAGCACAGCAGTCAGATTCCAGCTCCACCTGTAAGCACACAGGGAGACATTCTTTAAAAAGGAAATGAAGAAGAATGTGTGGATTACACCAGTGTCAGTTACCTTTGATACTGAACTGTAGTTATGCAGCATGTCACTATTGAATGAATCTCAGGGAACAGTATACAAAACCTCTATTTTTGCAACTTTCTGTGACTGTAATATTTCAAAATAAAATTTAAGTACAAAAAATAGACATTGTACACATTTTGGAGGACCCCAAGTAGGTGTAAACAGAGAAAACAGAAAGCACTCCTAGCTGATAGATTAGTGGAGATGATTTATAAGCAGCTGGAGAGAGGCCATAATAATTCAAAAGGGGCTCAACTTCACCACACAGGACAGCCCTAGGTGACTCAGTCTCTGACATAGGTAAGCAAATTGATGCTAATAAATACTGGAGCCACATTCTCTGCTCTGCCAAAATTTTAGAGACCCCTGTTTTCCTCTCCTATCTCCATCATTGGAGTAAAAGCTAAAATATAACCTACCACCCCACCCCACAATTCCATAATTTCTCAGTTTGCTGAGAGATAAGCTTCCTTTGCTCTCACTTTTATTACTTTCCATTTATCCCCTAACTAGAAAAGACTTAATGGCTTCCTTTCTCTGACTTCTGGAGAAAGCTACAACATTTTCCTTTGCTTAATATGCTCTGAGCTTTCAAACTACAAACTTTCTGCTTTGTTTCAGCTAAGTGTCTACTCCTAGATGTCTATATGTTTGTGTGCCCGTTTCTTCTGTGTAGGTGATGTTTCACTACCAAAACATGTGGTTTGGTTCTAGTTAATTGGCTTACAAAAAGAAAAGGAGGTGCTTAAATCTACTATTTACCCATTATTTTATGATGATCCATGTATCTATTTAAACAAATGTTTCAGGCCTATAATGTTTGATAGGCTTTCCAAAACAAAATTCTAAATTCAATCCTTCTAACCTCAAACTAGCTTTTAATAACAGAGGCCTTTGAAGTCCAAGAATAACTCTTTAGGCCTATTGATATATTAAACAGCAGAAAAACATTATAAATAAAAAATGTTTAACTTTCTTTAAACAATATTTTAAATATCTATTCCAAGGGCTGTGGGAAATCTCTAAAGTTTTAATAAGCCTTGATACATAGTATCAATAATAATTATAAGGTAATTTGTGTACTACAAAAATAACCAAATCTCCTTTCCACCCACAGACTATTTGAGTCTTCTTAAACAACAGTTTATAATCAGCTATGGTTCAAGATTTGCTTCTTTTGAAAATGTCATAGAACTAAAACATTTTCTATGATTTTATTTAAAGCATTGCAGATTCTCTTGCTTTGTTTTTTAAAATCATGATAAATATTGGGTGAGTAGCAAAGTTTGTCTGATACCTGGGATTGACAGCTGCTGAACCCTGCCCAGCCCGGCCTCATCCACCTCTCTAGGCCTAGGGGCTACAATAAGAGAGAGGCCTGTAAAGCTCCAAGGACCAATTTTGAGGGATGACGTTAGTAAAAGTTCCCTCATCTTTCTCCTCAATTTCCCCAACCCCACCTGGCCCCTACACACTCAACTAACAACTCCTTAAAGAGACCACAACACTTGCAGCCCAGAAACTAAGCATTGCTCAAAGTATCCCAGGACAGACTGGGCCCACATCGACCCCAAAGAAATCCTTTAATTCTTACTTTTTTTCCATCACTGCAGCTGAGCTTCTACAAATCCTCTCCTAGAGTCATCTCTCTGGACTCAAACCCACAGACCTCCAGAGCCTGCTTCCACCCAGGGACAACTCCCTGGAAGCCCAGTCCATCACAGACTCCAGACTCCAACTCACTCCATGAAAGAGGATAGAGACCCACCTGGGCAAAGATGGCTGTCCCCTTTGTTCTCTGGGTACACCACGAACCCCTTCCACTCCACAGAAGCTTCAAAACTGTAATTTCTAATATGCTATGATATAAAAGACATCTTACTCCTCTTGTCCTCTTTCTTATACTTCTACCTAACTCACACATCAGATCTGTCTCCCTTTTGCTCATGCTGGGAAAAGATTGTTGTTCCTTTGTTAACGGAGACAATACTAAATAACCTTCTGGCAGATGTGACTGGTGTGTTATAAACTCCATATGTGGTCCTGGTTCTCTTGGCCTTTCTGTAGGCCCCTTATATTCCAACTTTGGGTTCTCCCAACCCTGCATTTTTGCTGCCTAGTAACATGCATACAGAACTGAATTCAGACCCTGGCTATTTCTCGCCAGCGAAATCCTCTTCCCATCTCTAACCCAGCTTTCCAGACCATCTGCTTTCTATCACCGAGTGAGCTCTGAGAGGCAGGGACATTGCTCCCCCTGTACTTTCATCAGAAGAGACCTCCATCTCAAATCCCCAGGGGTTTTTTGAGCTCATCTCAAATAGATACTTCAATTTTAAAGCAGAGATGGGGGAATATAAGGACAGTGATATTTATAATAAAATAATAGGAAATTGGGGGTTTGGAGGGATCACTTCTGAGGTTTATCTTATAGGGGTACAAGTGAATCTTTCTAAGAGTAGAATGTGAACGTTTTAAAACAATAACTGAGAAAATGACATGAAGGCTGTGTTGACCAGTTTGATGGAAGTATTTCGGATTGTGTGTGAAAACCCCACACTGTACCCCAGAAGTGCATTAATGTACATAGTTACTATTCAATAAATAAATAAATAAATAAATAAATAATAGGAAATTAACTCTTGATTCTTCAGTGAGGCCAGAATCTCCCTCTCGGCCCGCTCTCTTTCTCTTGCCAGCAGCACCCCCCACTTGTGTGGATTTCTGTTTTCACAAACCATTTGAGAACCCAACAGACCAAAAGGAAACGTAAATTTTTTCTCTTTACATTTCCCCAGCTCATCTACCATTTAGAATTTGTTCCTTTAAGCCTCAAGTGATTCCTGAGTGTCCTAGACAAACAATGGAATATGAACTGTCAGGTCTCAGGATGGGGAACAACTCTGTCTCCAAACTTGCCTGAGGAAAAACAGATGAAGCATTCACAGCACCTTGTGAATTCTCTGCAATCACCTCCCCCACCTTAAATTCAGCTACCCACTGGACCTCAGGCCCAGCATTCTTCTTTCTTTGGGATGCCACCACTTCTCTCTGTTCTCCTTTTCTCCACCTCCCCCCACTTTGATTTTTTGGGTTTTTTTTGGGGGGGGGTTGATACAGAGCCTCACTTTGTCACCCTCATTAGAGTGCCAGGACATCATAGATCTCAGCAACCCCCAACTCTTGGGCTCAAGCAATTCTCTTGCCTCAGTCTCCTGAGTAGCCGGGACTACAGGTGCCCATCACAATGCCTGGCTATTTTTAGAGACAAGGTCTTGCTAGGGCTCAGGCTGGTCTCCAACCCATGAGCTCAGGCAGTCCACCAGCCAAGGCCTCCCAGACCACATGTGGGCCATCACCCCCCATCTTCCCTACACTCTATTCTCTTCCCCCTTTCTCATCTCTTCCTCCAACTCTCTTTCCTCTCTCTATTATAAAATAAACTTATACTTTTACATCCTAAAAAAAGGACTGGCAATAATAAATCCCAGAATCTCATGGCTAAAGAGTGTGCCACCATTGGTAAGATTATAAACAGAGAATAATTTGGGAGATGTGGGAATGTGTATCAAAAGCATAAAATGATTTGACTCTTTGGCCCAGTATTTTCATCTCATAAAACCTACCCAAAGAAAAATAACTGTGAAAGGGGTGGGGAAAGCTGTATAAATGAGATTATCATAGTGTGACTTAGAAATACTTTAATTATCAGACAAGGTTTGACTTAATAAACTCAGACTTTGAAAGGGTAGTGGTGATGCCCAGAGATGACAGGGGAGCAGAGAGGTTCAGGCCAGGTTTATTAAAAGGGACAGGACTGGTGGCCTGGGCACAGTACAAAGATGGTGTCTGCACAGGGGTAGAGACACTTTTATATGGGGCCTTAGAGGGTGAGCACATTTCACAGCTTGCCCAGAGGGCTTTGGTGTGTCAGGATTCTTTGGCAGGAGCTTCGGGGGTAGAGCTAACTAGGTCCTTTGTGTCCTTTGTCTAGAGGGGGTCGTGTAGGGCTGCGTTAGCCATCCCCCCCATAGACCTATTACTTGGAACATTACACAGTCATTAAAATTTAT